TACTACTTACCGAAATTCAGTAGTCAGTTGTATTCCCAATAACTTCAGTTCACTTTGGGGATTTCCCCAGGTCGGGGGAAATTTTGGGTTTTTCGTCTCATTTCTCCAAAATTTCCCCAAAATTTACCATAGCGGCTTCCCCAAAATCTCCCCGAAATTTCCCCAAAGTGGACCAAATTTTCCCCAAAGTTGGCAGCTTGGGATTAAGACTTGTAATTCTGATTCTACTCAGTCGAGTATTTATAATGATGATTTATCTGTATCAACGATTGCAATAGACAATGTAGAGTCACAAAGTAGTTCAGAGTTAAATGAAATTCAGAATTCTTGCGAAACAACAGTTTCTAACCAATCGATTTATCAGATTTCTCATGTCATTGTACCAAATATGACTTTTCCTAATGATTCATATATTTCTGATGAAATTTCTTACAAATCTGAAGAAAATATGTTGAGTGAACATAATTATGATCGAAAACCTGATGTATTTTTGATAGATGCTGATTTTTCTAATGATCCTTTAATCTGCAATGACATTCTCAATGAATTCGAGGAAACTATTCCAGAAGAGTCAAGTCTTGATGTCATACCAAATATTATTTGTGCCCATAATTCATTTGTTTCTTGTGGGAAGTTTGTTCAATGCGAAGCACGAGTATTAAATGAGCTCTATTCTGATTACAATTCAGACTATTTCACATCAACTGCTGTTCATCCTTATCACAAATTCACTTCCAATGTATACTCCAATCAATGTGAGAAATATGTTTTAAACGAAGTCACATTATTCATAACTTGGGGATATAAAGATCCAACATTATTTCGTGGGAGAGGATAGTGTTCAAATTCTAGATATTAATGATTTCAGTACAAAACCAACATGCTGATTGTATACAATTCCAGGTGAGTCTGTTCCGATTTCGTTTGTTAATTCCAATACTAATGAGCACATTCTAGATACTACAAAGTTTCTATCCAATACAATGTCGGACAGACTCAGGATGAACTTAAGAAGAAGACGTAAAACCGATTACAAATACTTTTACTCCTATTTAAGCTGTGGCGGATGTTGTGTTTGAATGAACTAATGATATCTTTCTACTTGTTGAATGCTTGATTTCGAATTCCAAATACAATACATTCGTTTGTGCTTGTGTCTCACTTCTTAATTCAATTGCGCTAATTCTGGGACTCTTAGTTCGTGCTATAATTCAAATAATTCAAAGCGTTATATTGGCGTCTCGATGGAGCCTGTAATGGAAAAGTTAGATATTCATTCAACTTCGGAAGCTTTTGAAGATTACTTTGAAAACGAACATGCCAAGTTTGGGGAAAATTTGGTCCATTTTTGGGAAATTTTGGGGAAATTTTGGGGAAATGAGACGAAAAACCCAAAATTTCCCCAAACATTGAGGAAGGTTTTTCACTTTGGCGATTTCCCCAAAATTTCCCCAAAGCTGGCAGCTTGGCAAGGCTCGAAATCTGGGCTATGACCAAGGAAGATGATGAGGATGTTAATATTGTGGCACACTTCCTCACATTCATCGGAAAAGAAGCATATAGCTTAATGAAAACTCTGGCCTTACCAGAAAAGCCCATTTCGCTTCCCTATACAACTCTCAAGGAACTGCTGCTAGACTATGTTAAGTATACAAATTTCGAACGCAGTAAAGGAGGAAGATTTCGTAAAATGATTCATGAGGATATAAAAAATTCCACTACCTTACGTCATCCCAACCCAGTTCATACTCAAGATTATGCAGACAATTCATTGAGGAGTTGCAATGCATTTCACGAAGATGGGCACAAGTTTAGTCAGTGTTTGTCCTGTGGCAAGTTCCACTCTTTTAATTCATGCAAATTTCGTAATTCCAAGTGCTTTAAATGTGGTGATATTGGACAAATTCAGTCAGTCTGTAATACTTATGTTCATCTTATTGCAACTAATATCCCAAACTGCCAGCTTTAGGGAAATTTTGCGGAATTTTGGGGAAAATCCTCAAAATGTTCGTAGCGCATTTTTGCACACTAACATTTCATCTACATAATATAAATAAGCCTCAAAGTAGTAAATTTGAATAAATAAATTTCCATTTTAATTCAATACAGACTTTTGGTGAGGGATAGTCTATCGAATTTCAGGTCTTGTTTTAATACATCAACAAACAGATAGTAGACAAAGAGTTGTCGGTTGTAAACCACCCCAAAGTGATATAACTTTTATCGTGTCCGTTTCCCTTTCACCTGGCTTCGCAGGCTTTATCAGACGTAACCGTAGTTTCTTTGTTCTTTTGTATATTGTTTTATACTACTTACCGAAATTCAGTAGTCAGTTGTATTCCCAATAACTTCAGTTCACTTTGGGGATTTCCCCAGGTCGGGGGAAATTTTGGGTTTTTCGTCTCATTTCTCCAAAATTTCCCCAAAATTTACCATAGCGGCTTCCCCAAAATCTCCCCGAAATTTCCCCAAAGTGGACCAAATTTTCCCCAAAGTTGGCAGCTTGGGATTAAGACTTGTAATTCTGATTCTACTCAGTCGAGTATTTATAATGATGATTTATCTGTATCAACGATTGCAATAGACAATGTAGAGTCACAAAGTAGTTCAGAGTTAAATGAAATTCAGAATTCTTGCGAAACAACAGTTTCTAACCAATCGATTTATCAGATTTCTCATGTCATTGTACCAAATATGACTTTTCCTAATGATTCATATATTTCTGATGAAATTTCTTACAAATCTGAAGAAAATATGTTGAGTGAACATAATTATGATCGAAAACCTGATGTACTTTTGATAGATGCTGATTTTTCTAATGATCCTTTAATCTGCAATGACATTCTCAATGAATTCGAGGAAACTATTCCAGAAGAGTCAAGTCTTGATGTCATACCAAATATTATTTGTGCCCATAATTCATTTGTTTCTTGTGGGAAGTTTGTTCAATGCGAAGCACGAGTATTAAATGAGCTCTATTCTGATTACAATTCAGACTATTTCACATCAACTGCTGTTCATCCATATCACAAATTCACTTCCAATGTATACTCCAATCAATGTGAGAAATATGTTTTAAACGAAGTCACATTATTCATAACTTGGGGATATAAAGATCCAACATTATTTCGTGGGAGAGGATAGTGTTCAAATTCTAGATATTAATGATTTCAGTACAAAACCAACATGCTGATTGTATACAATTCCAGGTGAGTCTGTTCCGATTTCGTTTGTTAATTCCAATACTAATGAGCACATTCTAGATACTACAAAGTTTCTATCCAATACAATGTCGGACAGACTCAGGATGAACTTAAGAAGAAGACGTAAAACCGATTACAAATACTTTTACTCCTATTTAAGCTGTGGCGGATGTGGTGTTTGAATGAACTAATGATATCTTTGTACTTGTTGAATGCTTGATTTCGAATTCCAAATACAATACATTCGTTTGTGCTTGTGTCTCACTTCTTAATTCAATTGCGCTAATTCTGGGACTCTTAGTTCGTGCTATAATTCAAATAATTCAAAGCGTTATATTGGCGTCTCGATGGAGCCTGTAATGGAAAAGTTAGATATTCATTCAACTTCGGAAGCTTTTGAAGATTACTTTGAAAACGAACATGCCAAGTTTGGGGAAAATTTGGTCCATTTTTGGGAAATTTTGGGGAAATTTTGGGGAAATGAGACGAAAAACCCAAAATTTCCCCAAACATTGAGGAAGGTTTTTCACTTTGGCGATTTCCCCAAAATTTCCCCAAAGCTGGCAGCTTGGCAAGGTTCGAAATCTGGGCTGTGACCAAGGAAGATGATGAGGATGTTAATATTGTGGCACACTTCCTCACATTCATCGGAAAAGAAGCATATAGCTTAATGAAAACTCTGGCCTTACCAGAAAAGCCCATTTCGCTTCCCTATACAACTCTCAAGGAACTGCTGCTAGACTATGTTAAGCATACAAATTTCGAACGCAGTAAAGGAGGAAGATTTCGTAAAATGATTCATGAGGATATAAAAAATTCCACTACCTTACGTCATCCCAACCCAGTTCATACTCAAGATTATGCAGACAATTCATTGAGGAGTTGCAATGCATTTCACGAAGATGGGCACAAGTTTAGTCAGTGTTTGTCCTGTGGCAAGTTCCACTCTTTTAATTCATGCAAATTTCGTAATTCCAAGTGCTTTAAATGTGGTGATATTGGACAAATTCAGTCAGTCTGTAATACTTATGTTCATCTTATTGCAACTAATATCCCAAACTGCCAGCTTTAGGGAAATTTTGCGGAATTTTGGGGAAAATCCTCAAAATGTTCGTAGCGCATTTTTGCACACTAACATTTCATCTACATAATATAAATAAGCCTCAAAGTAGTAAATTTGAATAAATAAATTTCCATTTTAATTCAATACAGACTTTTGGTGAGGGATAGTCTATCGAATTTCAGGTCTTGTTTTAATACATCAACAAACAGATAGTAGACAAAGAGTTGTCGGTTGTAAACCACCCCAAAGTGATATAACTTTTATCGTGTCCGTTTCCCTTTCACCTGGCTTCGCAGGCTTTATCAGACGTAACCGTAGTTTCTTTGTTCTTTTGTATATTGTTTTATACTACTTACCGAAATTCAGTAGTCAGTTGTATTCCCAATAACTTCAGTTCACTTTGGGGATTTCCCCAGGTCGGGGGAAATTTTGGGTTTTTCGTCTCATTTCCCCAAAATTTCCCCAAAATTTACCATAGCGGCTTCCCCAAAATCTCCCCGAAATTTCCCCAAAGTGGACCAAATTTTCCCCAAAGTTGGCAGCTTGGGATTAAGACTTGTAATTCTGATTCTACTCAGTCGAGTATTTATAATGATGATTTATCTGTATCAACGATTGCAATAGACAATGTAGAGTCACAAAGTAGTTCAGAGTTAAATGAAATTCAGAATTCTTGCGAAACAACAGTTTCTAACCAATCGATTTATCAGATTTCTCATGTCATTGTACCAAATATGACTTTTCCTAATGATTCATATATTTCTGATGAAATTTCTTACAAATCTGAAGAAAATATGTTGAGTGAACATAATTATGATCGAAAACCTGATGTATTTTTGATAGATGCTGATTTTTCTAATGATCCTTTAATCTGCAATGACATTCTCAATGAATTCGAGGAAACTATTCCAGAAGAGTCAAGTCTTGATGTCATACCAAATATTATTTGTGCCCATAATTCATTTGTTTCTTGTGGGAAGTTTGTTCAATGCGAAGCACGAGTATTAAATGAGCTCTATTCTGATTACAATTCAGACTATTTCACATCAACTGCTGTTCATCCTTATCACAAATTCACTTCCAATGTATACTCCAATCAATGTGAGAAATATGTTTTAAACGAAGTCACATTATTCATAACTTGGGGATATAAAGATCCAACATTATTTCGTGGGAGAGGATAGTGTTCAAATTCTAGATATTAATGATTTCAGTACAAAACCAACATGCTGATTGTATACAATTCCAGGTGAGTCTGTTCCGATTTCGTTTGTTAATTCCAATACTAATGAGCACATTCTAGATACTACAAAGTTTCTATCCAATACAATGTCGGACAGACTCAGGATGAACTTAAGAAGAAGACGTAAAACCGATTACAAATACTTTTACTCCTATTTAAGCTGTGGCGGATGTGGTGTTTGAATGAACTAATGATATCTTTGTACTTGTTGAATGCTTGATTTCGAATTCCAAATACAATACATTCGTTTGTGCTTGTGTCTCACTTCTTAATTCAATTGCGCTAATTCTGGGACTCTTAGTTCGTGCTATAATTCAAATAATTCAAAGCGTTATATTGGCGTCTCGATGGAGCCTGTAATGGAAAAGTTAGATATTCATTCAACTTCGGAAGCTTTTGAAGATTACTTTGAAAACGAACATGCCAAGTTTGGGGAAAATTTGGTCCATTTTTGGGAAATTTTGGGGAAATTTTGGGGAAATGAGACGAAAAACCCAAAATTTCCCCAAACATTGAGGAAGGTTTTTCACTTTGGGGATTTCCCCAAAATTTCCCCAAAGCTGGCAGCTTGGCAAGGTTCGAAATCTGGGCTATGACCAAGGAAGATGATGAGGATGTTAATATTGTGGCACACTTCCTCACATTCATCGGAAAAGAAGCATATAGCTTAATGAAAACTCTGGCCTTACCAGAAAAGCCCATTTCGCTTCCCTATACAACTCTCAAGGAACTGCTGCTAGACTATGTTAAGTATACAAATTTCGAACGCAGTAAAGGAGGAAGATTTCGTAAAATGATTCATGAGGATATAAAAAATTCCACTACCTTACGTCATCCCAACCCAGTTCATACTCAAGATTATGCAGACAATTCATTGAGGAGTTGCAATGCATTTCACGAAGATGGGCACAAGTTTAGTCAGTGTTTGTCCTGTGGCAAGTTCCACTCTTTTAATTCATGCAAATTTCGTAATTCCAAGTGCTTTAAATGTGGTGATATTGGACAAATTCAGTCAGTCTGTAATACTTATGTTCATCTTATTGCAACTAATATCCCAAACTGCCAGCTTTAGGGAAATTTTGCGGAATTTTGGGGAAAATCCTCAAAATGTTCGTAGCGCATTTTTGCACACTAACATTTCATCTACATAATATAAATAAGCCTCAAAGTAGTAAATTTGAATAAATAAATTTCCATTTTAATTCAATACAGACTTTTGGTGAGGGATAGTCTATCGAATTTCAGGTCTTGTTTTAATACATCAACAAACAGATAGTAGACAAAGAGTTGTCGGTTGTAAACCACCCCAAAGTGATATAACTTTTATCGTGTCCGTTTCCCTTTCACCTGGCTTCGCAGGCTTTATCAGACGTAACCGTAGTTTCTTTGTTCTTTTGTATATTGTTTTATACTACTTACCGAAATTCAGTAGTCAGTTGTATTCCCAATAACTTCAGTTCACTTTGGGGATTTCCCCAGGTCGGGGGAAATTTTGGGTTTTTCGTCTCATTTCCCCAAAATTTCCCCAAAATTTACCATAGCGGCTTCCCCAAAATCTCCCCGAAATTTCCCCAAAGTGGACCAAATTTTCCCCAAAGTTGGCAGCTTGGGATTAAGACTTGTAATTCTGATTCTACTCAGTCGAGTATTTATAATGATGATTTATCTGTATCAACGATTGCAATAGACAATGTAGAGTCACAAAGTAGTTCAGAGTTAAATGAAATTCAGAATTCTTGCGAAACAACAGTTTCTAACCAATCGATTTATCAGATTTCTCATGTCATTGTACCAAATATGACTTTTCCTAATGATTCATATATTTCTGATGAAATTTCTTACAAATCTGAAGAAAATATGTTGAGTGAACATAATTATGATCGAAAACCTGATGTATTTTTGATAGATGCTGATTTTTCTAATGATCCTTTAATCTGCAATGACATTCTCAATGAATTCGAGGAAACTATTCCAGAAGAGTCAAGTCTTGATGTCATACCAAATATTATTTGTGCCCATAATTCATTTGTTTCTTGTGGGAAGTTTGTTCAATGCGAAGCACGAGTATTAAATGAGCTCTATTCTGATTACAATTCAGACTATTTCACATCAACTGCTGTTCATCCTTATCACAAATTCACTTCCAATGTATACTCCAATCAATGTGAGAAATATGTTTTAAACGAAGTCACATTATTCATAACTTGGGGATATAAAGATCCAACATTATTTCGTGGGAGAGGATAGTGTTCAAATTCTAGATATTAATGATTTCAGTACAAAACCAACATGCTGATTGTATACAATTCCAGGTGAGTCTGTTCCGATTTCGTTTGTTAATTCCAATACTAATGAGCACATTCTAGATACTACAAAGTTTCTATCCAATACAATGTCGGACAGACTCAGGATGAACTTAATTGAAGACGTAAAAGCGGGTTTCCGGAACGTTCTATAACGCTACTAAAAATAACACTATTGGTAATCATTCAATCATAAACGCGACATGTGACTTTTCACTTTCTAGGTGCTTCCGTCAAAACTTCTAGTGAATGCTAATTATTTAAGGTTTTTCTTAGCATTTTCAGAGCCCTTTATAACTTTTTTGAGGACTTTCCTAGATCTCCCCAACATTCATCGGAACAACATCATTCAAAACAAATTTAAGACTTTTAAGGTTTTTTAATATTTTATTGGCACATTTTAATACTTCACCCGCACCACACAAAGCCATCATACATAAATCAACAAAAAACTCTTCTAACACCTGTTGTCGTTAGAATATCCTTACACTAAAATAAGATAGTTCAATGCTTGAGGTACATGCTTTTCAACTGTAATTCCATAGATTTAAACTCCACTACACATATTTAGGTTTAGGTAGCTAGTTAGTATCACTACGCTTTACATCCTTGTTAGTTAAGCTACGTTCGTTCGAAAACCTTAATATTGAAAGTGAAATAAGTCAGAAAAGAAGTTATAATATATGACAAATACTCTATCTAACAAATAAGTGTATGTTACTTTACGTCAATCAGTGAGTTCCAACCAACTAATTTATTGATAAAATACGCCTATTACAATCTCGAAGTAGTGAAGTTAATCTTGGTAAATATCAAACATTGATTTGTCAAATGGTAAACTTTCAGGGATTCTTTCGTTTGTTCCTAATCACACTTAGAGAAGTATACTTTAGAAGAACAATGTAATGAATAAATTCGTAACAGAAATTGTTTGAATATAATTGAATATAACACTAAAATAACTAATAAATGAAATCTAATAAGTGAGTCTTAAGCAATTACTGCCCAATCTCATGGTCCTGTATTCGATTCCTGACAGGATTTTAAATTCATGCCACTTTGAAGACTCATACGAGGACGAAACAGCGTTTGATGATTTCCCGGTTTTCAATGGCAGTTCACAACCCTCTATACTAACGAATTCTAGATCATGTGTGTAATCACGGTTGGTCGCTCCTAAAAAGTCCAAAGCTACAACGAAACATCCAGTTTAATATCCTTTGATACTTAGTTGTTTGTTCTCCAGCTTATGTAACTTAGTAACGAACGCGGTCTTCAGTCATCATGAAATTTAATTTCGAAATAGCTTGCACACATATACACGTTGTGAAATTTATACTACTATCAAGTAGTTTAAGTATTTAATTAAATAATAAATATAACCCATCGTGTCATTGAATAGAAATAAAGAGAATTCAGCGAAGAAAATTTTATTTTTGACGAAAATATTTACTTAGGCTGTACATTCGTATTTATAGTTGTTAAGTAAGTATATATATATGTAGAAGGATAGAAAAGATACCTATCTGAAATGGTTATCCACCTAAATTCGTCGATAGAAACTTAACACCAAGATAATATCCTGAAAAAGCACCAACAGTTCGATAGAAAACTCTTTTTATGAATAACAAATTTAAAGAAAATACGGCTAAAGAACCCTTGAATAAAAGGATTTCAAAATCCCTGAGTAAAACTTCTACTCGTTTTCTCAAGCCGGCGTACCATTCACGGATCTGTTAAGAATAAACTTACACTTTGGGCCATATCGATGTGCATCTATCAATTCACTTGCCCATATGGGACAAGTTACATCAACTTCGTAAAGAGATCACCTTCTTAATGCATCTCAGAACATTATTCGATGTGGCTTTCGAAAGATGAATTCAAAACAGTTACCAGTTCAATACAGGAGCATCGAATCAATTCTGAACACATCGCTCCGAAAGAGTCTTCCTGTAAAATAATCGATCCAGTCAAAGGAACTGGATCGAATGGAGGACGAATCAAAAACTTATGCACTACTGAGATGTTGGTGATCCACCAATCCATGCCCTAATTCTCTGTACAAAAGTGATGCATCTAACCTCTCATCCTTCCTTGGACCTAATTCTCATTTAATATTTAGAGACTCTTATCAATTCATGATGAAAGGACAAACACTTGGACTAAATAAATAATTCAATTAATAACTCATCAACTTCTCAATAGTTTGATATGAAAGTATAATACAATGCAAAAATAAATATGGTATCATTTCCTAAATATTCAACTTTGTATGTATAAAAATGAGCCTACAGTATTCCATAGTAAAGAATTGATAAATAGTATTAATTACTTAGGCCTATCATCCCTCATGAGGCATAGACTTCTGATTAAGAATTGCTAATCAACTCTGTCTTCAACTCTTCTTTTCAATTGTTGCCAAACGCTTTTCATAATCTTGATATCTACCTTCAGTTTCCGGTGCTGTAAGTTCTTTCGTTTGTCTTTTCCAATTTGATATTAATGATATTGAGTTAGAGCTTGCCTGATGATGCAAGATGTGTCCTGCCCAAGAGAGATATCAAAGGCCGGATCTAAGATTAAGGAAAAGTGTTTATTCAAACTACATATTTAGCGGTATTATGTTCTCTGAGCT